AACTCCTCCTCCCGAACCGAACGTCCTCGAACGACAATGTATCCTTGCGGCACCAGATCCTCGAAGATCATTACCTGCCGCGGTTCCATGCTATGGAAAATGCAGGCCGCATATAACTTGGTATCATCTCCCGTCTGCTTCAGTATTCTCTCGAACTCTGGCAGCACCTTGGAGTACATTCCAATCTCTGTGTCAAACAGATGGCTGTCACTCAGCATGTCCTTCTTGTGGCCGTCCTGCTCGGGCATTGTCTTGACAATCAGTGGCTTGTTGAACGTTCCCTTCCCGGTCGTGTACTCCACTGTGGTGCGGAACATAACGCTGGCATAGTGATCTCCCTGGGCACTCGCGGGGGATATTTTCAGATCCGTTACCTTCAATTCTGGTGCACTTTCATACGTGCTCAGAATTGTTTCCAAGTACGTAGCATTCAGCCACTGTGGGGGCTCCAGCTCGTCGGCATTAAATTCTTCCGCGTTTGAGTTTTCAGACATTTTGTTTGTTTGGCAGCGGCACAATCTAATCACTTGTTGGAACTGATGGAACAGCAAACCAGTTGTGTTTATAACAAATAATTCCGCACTCATTTTAACTAAAAAATTTGAGCTTTGAAAGAGCTTTACCGAGAGCTTTTTGACCGCCGCACATTTTCAATTCACTGCGAAATTAAGTTTCCAATTATTTTGTCTTATCGGGGAGCAAATTTAAGTCTCATTATCATTTTAATCAATGGATATTTAACTGGAAAACGCATTTTCATTTATTAAAGAAATCTAACTAAATATAAAGCATTCTCTGCGCTCGTTCGATGAAGTAGTACCACAAAAAGATACATGATATAAATATTATAAGTGTGGAAAGCAGGGGGTACGGCTTTTATAAGTAGCAAATAATCATTGTGATTGATTACACGAGTCAACAAAATTGAACGATTTTGGGTTTTAGATAGATTTTGGATTTAATAGGCGTAGTTTAATGAACTTAGCCCTAGTAAAAATCGATGGATAAGCTGTTGAGCTAAAATTGATTAACTCTTCAATATCCGTTAAGTACCTACTTTGTTTAGAACTTTTTTTGATTATTGTATTTTTTTATGGTGTTTTTTGTGAGAACCTAGCCATACAGTGTACCATGCCCATACCATGGTAACATGGTAGTGACAGAAGTCAGAAATACCTTGGCAGTTGGGCCAGCAACTTTTCAAACGGTATTTAATAGTGAAAAATGATTTCGGAGTGTTGGTCTAAAATTTATATTTTACTTTTCCTGAATTTCAATATTCAATTTGCTCAACATTTTCCAGACGCTATCAGCTTTTCAGAATTACAAAAATTCAATACATCCAGAAGTACAACCAAACTACCTCTGATTTTTATAAATTCTTAAAACAAACGAATTTATTAACCAAATTTAAATTCCCGAATTTATCAGACACAGCGGAATTGTTGTGTTGACTAGTGTTATATTTTAAATAGTATAACATACCCTTTAAAATAGTATTTTAATGTTGACACACCGTAGCAATGGAGAGAACAAAATAAAATGGAAACACTTAGCAACGATCGTAGATATATTCCACGTAGTCCGTTTTAATGGAAACTTTACATATGGTGACCTGTTTTCAAGTGTAGGTTGCTTCTATATTTACCTAAAATAATATAAACCCTTTAAAAGGGTATACTTATAATAGTATAGTATGACACGCGTAATCTCATACATAACAGGTTTGCGGCTGGTGGAACTAGTTTTGGTGGAAGAACTTTCACTTGGCTATGGATGCTGTACTGAGCTCTCTGGATTTTTGGACAAATAAGATGATCCATATGGGCAGCGAGGGATCAACTATCGAACAATAGTATTCATATATTCATTCGTTCCATGGGTATATCCCAGCATTTGTTTTAGGAAGAGCACAATCAAACGTAAATGTTGTACAAATAACTGTCCAAAATCTGTTTAAATATATTTAAAAATGTTTACAGTTACAACCAAAAGACAGTGATAAGATAATAGAGTAGTAGTATTAGTAGTAGTAGATACCAGTTACAGTCAGAATTCAATGAATTCAGCTGAATTCAATAAGTACGACAGAAATACTAGTCAGATTATTTCATTGCTTTATTTGTTATATAATGTTAACATATCGTTTCCCACTCCCTATTCAATATAGAGATAACAAAACGTT